TGGAAACCTCACATTACCTCTCTGATGGCAATTTGTCACAGCCGGCTGAACCTTCTTAAAACCCTTGCTCATCTTTCATGGGGAGCTGATCGTCGAACTCTTCTCCGCCTTCATTCAGCCCTCATTTTATCGAAACACTATTATGGTGACCAGAGCTATTCGGCTGCCTCTCCTGCTACTCCTCTAGCCTTAACCCCATCCATCACCAAGGATTAAGTTTATGCCTTGGTGCTTTTCGCTCTTTCCCTGTTGAGAACCTCTATGCAGAAGCAAATGTTCCATCCTTGTCTGATCGCCGTGATGCCCATTGCCTTCGCTACTATGTACGCTCTCATGATCTCTGCAATCCTTCCATTTATAGAATGGTCACCGATATTAGTAGACATTATTTGTTACCTACCCCTGTTTGCTCTGTCTCTTCTCTCTTCGCCTACATTAGCTCTTGTCTTCCCTTCAGTTACCGCCTTTATGTTCATGTAGCATCTCACTTTTCCCTGCCCCCCTGGGAAGTTCCAGCTGTTCGGGTCTGTTCTTTCTCACTCCCTTGCTCGAAAGCCCAACTGCCTATGGTGGCTTCCCGCTCTCTTTTTCTTGACCACTTCCACTCATGCTATCGCAGTGTACACAGATGGCTCTAAGTCTTCTGACAGTCGGATTTGCAGCAGTGTTTCCGGACAGATTCGTGCAAGGGCATCTACAATCTTCGACTAGCATTTTTACTGCTGAATTGTATGCCATTCTTGCAGCTCTTATTCGTATCGCATCTATGCCTGTGTCATCATTTGTGGTTGTCTCAGACTCCCTTAGTGCTCTACAGGCTATATAGAAATTTGATACACCTCACCCCCTAGTTCTCCATATCCAACTTTGGCTACGCCGTATCTCTACCAAGCATCAAGATATTGTTTCTTTGTTGGGTCCCTGGTTATGACGTACAGGGCAATGAACAGGCAGACACTGCTGCACGGTCAGCAGTACATGACCTACCAATTTCATATAGAGGTGTTCCATTTCCGGACTATTTTGCTGTAATAGCTACCCACCTTCGCACCCATTGGCAACAACGTTGGTCTGCTCTGCTTAATAACAAACTTGTTCTATTAAACCGAGTATAGGTTACTGGCCATCATCTTGTCACCAGTGTCGAGGTTGGGAGACTACTCTCTCCTGCCTTTGCATTGGCCATACTCTTCTTACTCATGGATATTTCATGGAGAGGTGCCCTGCTCTCCTCTGAGAATTGTCAGGTTCCATTATCGGTCAGCCACATTCTGTTACTGCCCACTTTATCAACGAGCACACAGAATTTACCTCCAACGTCGTCTCCGCTCTACTACTCTAACTTCCTTCTCGCTGATGGATCCACCTTTCATTCGAACTCTGACTTTTTGACAACTGACTTACTTCACAAACTCTGATGATACCTTCAGCCCTTTCTACCCCAATCTCTTGCTACCCCCTTCCCCGCACTATCCCTGCCCCGCTGTTTTCTGTAACCTACTAATCATCCCTCCCCCCTTCTGCCGCCCGATACCCTCGCTTCCTTCCCTACCCTGCAGTGTTGTATAGCCCTTGTGGCTTAGCGCTTCTTTTTTATTATAATAATATCCTAGTAGGATACTAAGTATTAAATTATGAAAGAAGGCTTGCAGGCCAGCAAATTTTCTGAAACTAATGAAACTTGCGCATGACACGGAAAACTGAAAAAGGTTAATGGATCGATCTCGTGTAGTTTATGTTAAGAGGCAGAGATGGAAAATTAAATGCCGTTTGCAAGTCTAAAATAGTTTTAGAAATTTAGAGGCTGGTAGTGGCTGTAATAAAGTAATAGGTGGACAATGATAATTGACGATATAGAGGTTATAACTTCACAACTATACCTAGTGTCCTTTGTCACTGTCGTCCTTTTGAGAATTTGAAGGAAAATAATTGCGAATTTATAAAATCTGTGCGTACTACCAACAAGTATTTTAGCAGAGAAATTATAAATATCTGAACCAATTGACCATAATAAGAGCACTGGAGAAAATTTTATTTACCAACATTAATATGGCTACTGCTTGAGTAATTTCGTCACAAAGAAACAATACCACGGGCGGGGATGGAACCAGCGATCAGTCTCAGAACTCTGATCGCTGCTTCCGTCCCCGCCCGTGGTATGGTTTGTTTGCAATCGTGTCATTACGATTTCCCGAGTCACGTTTCGTCACAAAGGCCTGCAGGATTAATACAGGCCAGAGGTGATGCACGAACTTTTACAACTGTGTACTCACCTAATTGTAGTTGCAGGGGTCGAGAGACTGCTCCTGGCCCCGCCTCTTCACTGAACACTTAAGTCCTCTCTCCCTGCTCCATGAACTTTATCATACCTCGTCTTAAAGCTATGTATGGTTCCTGCTTCCACTACATCGCTTCCCAGAGTATTCCACTTCCTGACCACTGACTGAAGAAATGCTTCCTAATATCCCTGTGGATCATCTGAGTCTTCAACTTCTAAGAGTGACCCCTTGTTTGTGTCCCCTCTCTGGAACATCTTGTCTGTCCACCTTGTCTATTCCACGCAGTATTTTGTATGTCGTTATCATGTCTTCCCTATCCCTCCTGTCCTCCAGTGTCGTCAGGCCGATTTCCCTAAACCTTTCTTCGTAGGACATTCCCCTTAGCTCTAGAACTAACCTTGTCGCAAGCCTTTGCACTTTCTCTAATTTCTTGACATGCTTGACCCGGTTCGGGTTCCAAACTGGTGCTGCATACTCCAGTATGGGCCTGACGTACACGGTGTACAGTCTTGAAAAATTCTTTACTTAGGTATCGGAATGCTAATCTCGGGTTTGCCAGGCGCCCATGTACTGCAGCAGTTATCTGGTTGATGTGCACTTCCAGAGACGTGTTCGGTGTTATACTCACGCCAAGATCTTTCTCCTTGAGCGAGGTTTGCAGTCGTTGGCCACCTAGCCTATACTGTCTGCAGTCTTCTTTGCCCTTTCCCGATCTTCATTACTTTGCATTTGGCAGGGTTGAATTCGAGAAGCCAGTTGCTGGACCACGTGTCCAGCCTGTCCAGGTCTCTTTGAAGGGCTGCCTGATCCTCATCCGATTTAATTCTCCTCATTAACTTCACATCTGCGAACAGGGACACCTCTGAGTATCCCTTCCATCATGTCATTCACATATACCAAAAATAACTGGTCCTAGGACCGACACCTGTGGGTCCCCAATCGTCACAGGTGCCCACTGTGATACCTAATCACGTACCATGACTCGTTGTTGCCTCCCTGTCAGGTATTCTCTGATCCATTGAAGTGCCCTTCCCGTTATATGCGCCTGATCCTCTAGTTTCTGCACTAATCTTGTGAGGAATTGTCGAAGGCCTTCTTGCAGTCCAAGAAGATGCAATCAACCCACCCCTCTCTCTCTCGTCTCTTACCTCTGTTACTTTATCATAAAACCCCAGAAGGTTTGTGACAGGATTTGCCTTCCATGAAACCGTGTTGGTTGTCATTTATACTTTTGTTTCGTTCCAGGTGCTCCACCACTCTCCTCCTGATAATCTTCTACACGACTTTGCATACTATACACGTCAGTGACATTGGTCTGTAGTTTAGCACCTCTTTTCTGTCTCCTTTTTTAAAAATGGGAACTACATTTGCCATCTTCCATACCTCAGGTAGTTGCCCAGTTTCAAGGCATGTGTTGATTGTGGTGCTGTACCTAACCTCGCAGAGGATACATGCTCAACATGGTTTCATTTTTCCTCTGCAAACTAAGACTTATCGTGACCAGTTTTATAAATGGGCTTATTTGTTAAATGTAATATATATTTTGTAACCCAACAAATTTATTTAACGTAAGCTAAAGAAAAAGGGTAACTGACGAAATTTAGAAAACACCAAGAACTACAACCATGTCAATAATAAGATGAGAAAGTGTTGAAACTTGCCACACGTAATAGGCCGGATTAGAATGTTGCCAAGGCCTAGCAGGCAAGTCAGTCTTTTTAAATCTGACTAATCGTGATTGAATGCAAGTTTATAGGTCTATAAACTATTTAAAATTTAGGAATGTATTGACTCACGAAATCGTAATGACCTGGAGGGGGTTTCGGGGGTCAACGCCCCCGCGGCTCAGTCTGAGACCAGGCCTCACGGTGGATAAGGGCCTGATCAACCATGTATAAGAAATTTACTGTGGAAATCACGTTAGACCACTGAAATCATAGATTAATCTACAGTATCGAGTGTTCCCACCTGTGGGGAATTAAGGCGGTGTGTGTGGGGGGGGGAGGGAGCGGGTCACGGCTGAGTCGGGTTAGTGGTACCTTGTTTAAGTGGTAAATTCAGTCTGAAGTCTGCCGCTCCACTTCAGGGTAACTTCAATGGGGTACTGACCTTTATTCCTCACAGGAAGCAGTGTAATCATGACAGGCACCTGCTATGGTTATCTGGTCGTGGGAGTGCCACCTCTACACGTGTCCTCCTCAATGTCTTCAATACTCGCGTGGTAGTGTTGGGGCGGGGGTTACCTGAGAATACCTGTCTTGTCTTGTAACTACTTGGTCCACCTAATAAGACCCTTGCTTGTGGTGATCATATGGTGTACGAATATATTCCCCGCCCAAAGTTTGTGTAGGGTAGTCGCCAGTCTCTGCTGAAATATGACTATTGCTCCCAGCCGCGGCTCGGACTTTCCCAGGGCGCCTTTGGCAAGAAAGCAGGTGCCTAAGGCATTTATTGTTTATTGGAAGCGTAACTATTGCCTTAAGCTAAACTGCTATTTTTAACTTTGCTTAAACATGTGTAGGAGTAATGTAGTAATTTTAGTGTATAATTAGTGTATAATTCTTAGAATTAAGTATATGAAGAACAGACACCCGTCTCCCGCTCATCTCTTATGCCTCCATTTCCCCAACTAGGGGGGAGGGGCGAGTAACCGATTCCGGGAAATACCGATATTTTCCACACCACCTACTTGATTAGAGAACCCTGTGAAATATGTAATACCTTAGTCCAGAGAATCTTGCCAGGGGTTCAGGGACCAGTTCCATTAATGATGTCATTTCCATCCTTATGAAACCTTTGAAATATTCTTCAACCATTTCCTCATCTAAGTCAGCTAATTCGTTTTCTTTTATATAGTGGAGAATCCATGATGCATCTTTATCTGGATTACTGGCCAAGATGTCTTCATAACTTGTCACGTCAGCCTCAGACATCTGTGGATATACGTTTAACTTTAGTTTTACATTTGTTAATTACCTGCAGTTTTGGGAGCTAAATATTTAAACTCCTAGTTTTGTAGCAGCAATAATCATTCCAGACTGCATTGTGCCAAAACAAAAGCATTCACATTGTTAAACTCACAAACTAGTATTAAGTCACTTAGCCATAATACCAACTTACCTCATAATTTGTAATATTTTACACTTAAAATTTAATACAAGTCTGCCCTAAATGCCTAGCCATGCTAGGTGTTCTAGTGGTACACATTGTAATTATTATTTTACAACATGTAAACCACTCAACCAAATTCTGTAAACTCAGCATTGTAATCCTTATAGAGAATTCCAGACTGCTAAAAAAAATTGATTTTCAGTTACGCCAAGGAATATACAATAAACAGTTTTAAAGTGTTAAACCTATTAGGTTAATACAGCATGTGGGAAATCAAGAATAAAGTGGAATATTCTTGTTTGATACAAGATGTAGCCATAGTTAGCCACTTACTATGTCTACCAGAGAAGCCATTGTTTTCAAGTCTCCAGCTTCTTGATCTGTGGCTGCGTCGACAATGTCATCTTGCCTAGGACCAGCACACACCACACCTAGCAGACAGCAGCAAATCTGAAGAGTTATGTAATATAAGAATATAAATTTTAAATAAAGGTTGTAGTAAGACTGGTAATTCTATTGGGATTTTACAAAATTTAATTCTGACCCAGTTTAATATTCCAGACTGAGCTGTAGCTGCAGTAGGCAGCAGAGTATGGAGACTTAGTTCAATGTTTCATGCAATAAAGTTTGTTACCACACTTATAAAGGATAAAATAAACTAAAATATTCATTCAAAAAAAGAGCCACAAGGTTTAAATATCAAATAAATTTCAAAATGGTTTGTAGCAAGAGTGTAGGGGCCGGTGTAGTGGCCCGGTGGCTAAAGCTCCCGCTTCACACACGGAGGGCCCGGGTTCGATTCCCGGCGGGTGGAAACATTTCGACACGTTTCCTTACACCTGTTGTCCTGTTCACCTAGCAGCAAATAGGTACCTGGGTGTTAGTCGACTGGTGTGGGTCGCATCCTGGAGGACAAGATTAAGGACCCCAATGGAAATAAGTTACAATCCTCGATGACGCACTGACTTTCTTGGGTTATCCTGGGTGGCTAACCCTCCGGGGTTAAAAATCCGAACGAAATCTTATCTTGCATGAGAATATTGGTTGCAGGTACCAAACTTCATTAATAAGGTTTCCACAACTGCATTTTTGTTTCTTCGTATACTGTAGGTAGGCAGTATAACTACACAAGACAAAATATGCAAATATAAAACACAGGTATATAATGAATTCATTGCGCGTTAATTCAAGAATATCTGATATCCTAACTTGTTCCACAAGGCACAGTACTTGCTCCCATCTTGTTCCTCATCCTCATATCCGACATAGACAAGGATGTCAGCCACAGCACCGTGTCTTCCTTTGCAGATGACACCCGAGTCTGCATGACTGTCTTCCATTGCAGACACTGCAAGGCTCCAGGCGGACATCAACCAAATCTTTCAGTGGACTGCAGAAAACAATATGAAGTTCAACGATGAGAAATTTCAATTACTCTGATATGGCAAACACGAGGAAATTATAACTTAATCAAAGTATAAAACAAATTCCAGCCACAAAATAAATCGAAAAACCAACGTCAAAGACCTGGGAGTGATCATGTCGGAGGATCTCACCTTCAAGGACCATAACATTGTATCAATCGCATCTGCTACAAAAATGACAGGATGGATAATGAGAACCTTCAAAACTAGGGAGGCCAAGCCCATGATGACACTCTTCAGGTCACTTGTTCTATCTAGGCTGGAATATTGCTGCACGCTAACATCACCTTTCAAGGCAGGCGAAATTGCTGACCTAGAAAATGTACAGAGAACCTTCACGGCGCGCATAATGGAGATAAAACACCTCAGTAACTGGGAGCGCTTGAAGTTCCTGAACCTGTACTCCCTGGAATGCAGGCGGGAGAGATGCATGATTATATACACCTGGAAAATTCTAGAAGGACTAACACCGAACTTACACACGAAAATCACTCGCAACGAAAGCAAAAGACTCGGCAGACGATGCAACATCCCCCCAATGAAAAGCAGGGGTGTCACTAGCACGTTAAGAGACCATACAATAAGTGTCAGGGGCCCGAGACTGTTCAACTGCCTCCCAGCATACATAAGGGGGATTACCAATAGACCCCTGACTGTCTTCAAGCAGGCACTGGACAAGCACCTAAAGTCGGTACCTGACCAGCCGGGCTGTGGCTCTTACGTTGGATTGCGTGCAGTCAGCAGTAGCAGCCTGGTTGATCAGGTTCTGATCCACCATGAGGCCCGGTCACAGACCGGGCCGTGGGGGCGTTGACCCCCGGAACACACTCCAGGTAACCACCACAGGACGGTGAAAAAGCAATACATGCCATGCCAGGACCAGACTCGTGCAACTCAGTGTTCATCATGAACTGCAAGAAACCCATTTCACGTGCCTTAAATATTCTATGTAGAGGGAGTAGTAGTATAATATGTTTATTATGCACCCCTTACCCATCCTGTGGGCGGTAGTCAAAAGATTACAGAGGTACATAATTGGTCCAGGGACTGGATTCCAAAGTTTTGATAGCTGAGCAAGTTAGAGGTAATGAACTCACAATTTACAAAGGTAATGAACTCACAATTTCGAGAGGGAGCATAGACACGGGTCATCCCAGTCATTAAGAACAACAGACAGTCCCACTCCACAAGGTGGCAGTAAACATTTCAGAATTACTGAAGTAAGATCGTCACTCATTTAATAGTATTATAGTAAGATATCACCTTTATATTTTAATAAGGTAAAAGGACCCCAATGGAAGCAAGTCACTAACTTTGTGTTATCCTAGGTACTTTACACATATGCTGCCATGTATGATAATCTATGTAACTATTTGTGTATACATGTATGTTTGCAAGTTAGAGTAGCAGCAGCAGCGATATTTACATAGCACCTTGAGAAGGTAACTCAAGAGTTAAAAAGCATAAAATAGGAAAAAGGAAATAAAAGAATTGTTCCAACCTAAAACTAGCCAGCATCAATTAAAAGCCATTAAATAATATCAAAAAGACTTAAAAGTTAGGTCCCTACAGACATCTCTTAATTATAAAAACCATGAAGACACAAAGGCCTAAGCCAAGGGCGAACTAAATACGTCCCTCAATCACTGCTTATCACAAGTTTCACGGGAGGACATGAGCCTCCTGCAAACATGTGGCTATAGGAGTGATGCGCTTGATTCTCACAGATTATTCTACTAATTGTTCTTGTTGGAGGCATTCTTCGCGAAGCTGCTGGTGAGGGTGGATGTTTTGCTACACCTCTCTGACCGGCGCAAGTGCTAGCCAGGCTGTCACAATGGTGGTTGGGGTGCGCCGCAGAATTAACACTGTTGGCATAGAATTACTGAGAGGTACAATTAATCAAGATGCGGCGTTGACGTTGTTGCCTCTGATTATTCGAGAGAGACATGGGATTGAGGATTGCGACCTTTACGGTGTAGCCTTAAATGGAAACTACAGAATGCTCGTGAAACTGCTGTCATCACAGGTGTATGAGGATCTACTCGATCATTATCAGGATGTTGCTATCGAGGTTAATGAGGACATCCTGGTAAAGATGGTCGATGTTTCGCGTCAATTTACGTATGTTAAGTTATGTAATGTGCCTTTCGAGGCGAATGAAGCTGACCTACGTAGTATGTTTGGAAAGCTTGGAACTATACACGTAGCTCAACAAGGCAAGTGGACGGCAGGGGCTTATGAGGGGTATCCAGAAGGCAGGTTTAGCCTGAAGATGACCAAGGCAACCAATACCTTCGTATGTGTTCTTAGAGGAATTCGGAACAAATACTTGTAACTTACGCTGGACAACATAAAACTTGTAGACTGTGTGACGGTTATAACAGCGGCTGAATGTATGAGGCAGAGGACGGACCAGGGAATACCAAGGAGTGACATTTCGAGGTGAGGATCTACGGTGACTGATCAGAACCACCAGGATGGACATAAGCGTGGTCGGTTGTGGAGTGAGGAAGTGGAGGAAAGGCAACGTGAGGTGGAGCATGAAGGTGCTGTGAAGAAATTGAGTGCATCTGCAGAGGGTGTGACGCACGAGGCGGACAAGGACGTAACGAATAATGTAGAAATTGACGTAGTGCTCGAGACAGTTTTGCAGATGTAAGCAGGCCTAAGGTGTATGACAATGTTAATGGTTTATGTAATAGTGGTAAGTGTGTATGGTTGAGAGGACTGCTGTATCGTTACAACGTAGATGTTGCTTTTATACAAGAGCATAACTTGAAAGCAGGAAAATTGCTGGAGGTGAATGGATGCCAACGACACATTTAAAAGGCGGAGTAGATGTTTTAATTCGTGAGACAAGTCCGTTTGTTTTGCAACGGTTTGAGGGGGGGGGAGGAAATAATGAGAGTGGACAGGTGGTGGATGTGTGAACGCGTGTCTTTTGTTGGAGTGTATGCTCCGGCGGAGGACGATGCGAGGGTAAAATCGGCATTTGTAAGGGATGATCTGGTGTATTTCTTGAGAGTGCTACCCAGGGTTGCATTGATTGGGGGAGATTGGAATTGTATAATGGGATTTGATGTGATGCCAGTGGGGGCGGGATATTTCTCCAAAGTGTTGAGAGATTTGTGTAGAGATATTGGGGTATGAAATGCATTTCGGGGTGGAATAGGTGAAGTGCAACATACATATGTAAGGAGGGAATACGCAGCTAGACTGGATAGGATCTATATAACGCAAGGGGTTTCAGTAGTCTTTTAACACCATAGAAGCAATTTATTCAGATCACAGGGTAGTGGTGGTGGCATGGGATTCATTAGTGAAACGGTTTGAAAGCTACTGGAAATTAAACGCGTGACTCCTTGAGGATGAGGAAGTGGAGGAGGGGGGTTTGCTTCGTTGTGGAGGAAGCTAAGTGAGGAGGCAAAAAGGGGTTGATAATGTGGTACGTTGGTGGGACAGTGTGGCCAAGGAGAGGATTCGTACATTTTATGTGGGTGAGGGGAAGCGAATAAATCAACTGAAGTATGGATTAACAAATTATTTGGAAAGTAGAATAGGGTACTATCATGAGCAAGGAGTGGTGGGAGGAGTATTCCAAACAGAGTCAATGGATGATCTGAAGAGAAGGTTAAGAGGCGCAGGAGGAGAAATTTCATGCGGTGAGGGTGCAGGCGGGAGTGGAGGAAGTGCTTTGGGGGGACAAACCATCGGCATGTGTGTTGCGGAGACAACAGCAGAGGACAGCGACCATGATAGTGGATTTGGAAGTGCACTCTGAGGGGAAAGGTTTTAGGGAGGGGCAGGTGTTAAAAACAACGGAGGGGATGAGTATGTTCGTGGACGAGTGGTATGGGCAATATTGGAAAAGTAAAGGGGTAAACAAGGAGGATCTTGCTGGGGTGTGCGCTGTAGAGCCTGTAGCTCTGGGGAGAAAGGACAGGGAAGCTTTGGGTGGTGATATTGAAGAGGGGGAGATATGGAGAGGGCTTGTAGACATGCGCAGGGGCAAAGCACCAGGTA